ATTGATAGCACTGAGTATAGAAGATTAATAGGCAGACTGTTATACTGCACTATAACCAGACCTGATATATCACATACTGTGCATATTCTTAGTCAGTTTGTTGCCAAACCAACACAGCAACACATGGATGCTGCTCACAGACTGCTCAGGTATTTGAAAAACACAATTGGCCAAGGTATATTCTATCCCAGAAACTCTACATTATCTTTACAAGGGTACAGTGATAGTGATTGGGCTGGTTGCATTGATACTAGAAAAAGTGTTACTGGTTATGCTTTCTTTTTGGGTAATTCCTTAATATCTTGGAAATCAAAGAAACAAACCACCATTAGCAGGTCCTCTGCAGAGGCAGAATATAGAGCATTGGCCTCCACAACTTGTGAAGCCCAATGGCTTTTATATCTGCTCTCTGATTTACATATTTCCCATCCTAATGTTGTTCTTCTCTTTTCAGATAGCAAGTCTGCTATTGCTTTGGCCAAGAATCCTGTTCACCATGAGAGAACAAAGCATATAGAAATTGACTGCCATTTGATCAGAGAGAAGATTTCCAGAGGCATCATCACCTTGCAGCATGTTCCAACTCAAGATCAAGTTGCTGATGTGCTTACCAAGTCCTTACAGCCTCTGCCATTTCAGAGATGTCTCTCCAAGATGAACATTCTCAACATCCATGCTCATCTTGCGGGGGGATATTAGTTTATAATGTTTTTTTATGTATTTTACATTTCAGTCATTAGTCTTCTTCTTAATTACCTTCTTAGCCTACATATAAATAGGAGATTAGGGTTTCCCCACTTCACTTTTCCTTTTTTCGCTTTCTGAGTGTTGCTCTCTCTCTCTCAATCTTTCCTCTCGGTTCTTCAATCTTGTCTCTCAAATCATGTACAGATATTATGTTTGATTCAATAAAATTCGATGTTTATGTTGTTAATAGAAATGCTATGTTACGGTATCATCCCGTTGGGTTCCGTTACGGTACCATCCCGTCGAGTGTTTTAACCGGTGGATCCACGTGTAGTTAAATAAGACAAATGATCCAACGATTAAAACACCCGACGAGATGGTACCGTAACGTGACCGTAGCATTTCCCAATAAGCTCTTTGCTCAAACTGTCAAGTGTTAACGGCTAAAAAGCTGCCGTGAAAGGCTCTAATAAGGTACAACCATCCAAAGCTCATTGGAGATTGCGTACCACCAACCCTCATCACTCAGTACTACTCTTTTTTTTTTTTGCTTATATAGTGCAAAGTTCATTTGGCTTTATATTATTCAGTCTTCTTTTTTTTTTTTTCTGAAGTTGCATTAAGATCCCAGATTTTGATGAAGCATGGAAGCAATCAGAGAGCCAGAGTTAGGTAATTATTAATCAAAACGTTCTATAGTTTTGTTTAATTTAGAATGCTTATACTGTCAAATTTCATACTTATACTTTTGTTTTTGTATTTTCAACACAATGACACTTTCTCCTACTTATTGACATCAGCCCAAGAAAGAGTGACACTTCCTAACCAAGCCAAGACCAAGAAATGGTGGGCCCGGCTGATCGCCTACTCGTCGTTCGTCCTCCTCGGCGAAACGAGCGCCACCCTTTTAGGCCGACTCTATTACAAAAAAGGCGGGAAAACGATCTTGCTCCAAGCCCTTCTCGAATCCATCGGTTTTCCGATTCTCATCCCATTTGCCCTTCACTCGTCCGCACGACACCAAGTGATCACGGATAAGCCTCCCCTGAATTCCTTCTTCATACTTTTGGCCATTTACGCCTCGCTTGGGTTTTCTCAAGCCGCGGGCGGAGTTTTATACGCGGTCGGGCTGCAAAATCTACCCGTCTCGACTTTTTCCCTACTCACGACGACCCAACTAGGATTCAGTGCCCTGTTTTCCTACTTTCTAAATGCCGAAAAGTTTAGTTTCTTGATACTCAACTCATTGGTGCTCGTCTCAGTCTCATCATCGCTCCTCGTTTTCCGTAGGGAAAATGCGGAGGATGGAAACCCGAGAAAGGAACGTTTTGCGGCGGGTTTTTGTTGCACGCTCGCCGCCTCGTCTCTATACTCATTAACGCTTTCGCTAACTCAGTTGGTTTTCGAGAAGGTGATGATGAAAAAGAGTGAAAATTCTTCGAGCGTGATGAATATGGTGATGTATCAATCGATGTTCGGGAGTTGCATGCTAATAGCCGCGCTTTTTGCAAGTCGAGAATGGTGGGGTTTGAGAGAGGAGATGAAAAATTTCGAGATGGGGGAATTAGTTTATTTGTTGATTGTTTTGTCGGTTGCTATCGGGTGGCAAGTGTATTATATAGGGACCGTGGGCTTGATTTTTGAGGTGTCCTCTTTGTTCTCGAATGTGATTAGTACCGTGGGTTTGCCGGTTGTCCCGATTCTTGCGCCCGTGTTTTTCCACGAGAGGATGGATGGGATTAAGGTGATTGCCATTTTATTGGCGTTGTGGGGTTTCGTCTCGTATGTTTATCAGAATTATCTCATGAATCGGAAGAGCGTGTGATTGAGTCTCGGCTTTTATCCTCGCGATTGTGTTTTTTTTTTTTTTTTTTTTTCATTTCGACTTTTGAGTCTTACAAACAATCAACTGTTTGGTTTGGTGTTTCTTGGGGTTGGTTCAGTTCTGGTATTTTTCATTCATGTTTACTCATCATAAGGTGACTCAAATAGTAATCCAAATTAAGGAAGTCCATGATTATTGTTATACAAATGCAGCAAGAAGAAGATAATCAAATATTATTGCTTCCGGATTAGTCGGTTCCCCTGTGGATCCGGAAACCGGAAGGTCCCTGTACCAAAAAAAAATATTATTGCTTCCAAAAATTAAGTTGAAAAGTTGAAACTCCTCTATGTTATCCTATATAATCCCAGGACAAAGATATATGTAGGAATGCTCATATTTCAAATTAGACAATTGTATTGATGAATAATTGAGCACACAAATTGAGTTGCAGTAAACTAACCGAACATTCGCAGACAAAAGCTCATTCAAGCTCATTCAAGTTCGGGAAAATCTCTTTCATTTGAACCAAGGTCGGACAAAAATTAAGCTCCTTTGCTAATATACGAACTCACACATAATTCTTTTCTGGAACTAACATAAACAATATTGGAGCATAATCAACCACAAGCTCGGAAATATCTCCAACCCACCTCGTTCGATTCAATTACAGCACTAACACAACGAAAAAAAACACCAAAAGACAACAAAAGTCATAAGCATTCACTTCAGATTGGAAATATCATAGCATACCAATAATTCACAGTGTTAATTAAATTTCATATCAACACCAAAAACAAAAACTACAATCACTCATTTTCCGGGGACAAAGTTGGTGGCATAGGCCCAAGCATTGTTGTTAACCGGGTCGGCTAAGTGGTCAGCCAAATTCTCCAACGGGCCCTTTCCGGTAACAATGGCCTGCACGAAAAACCCGAACATGGAAAACATGGCGAGCCTCCCGTTCTTTAGCTCCTTCACCTTAAGCTCTGCGAAAGCTTCCGGGTCATCAGCCAGGCCCAACGGGTCGAAGCTCCCGCCCGGGTACAACGGGTCGGTTACCTCACCAAGAGGCCCACCTGCAATACGGTACCCTTCAACTGCGCCCATCAAAACCACTTGTGTGGCCCATATGGCCAATATGCTCTGCGCGTGGATCAAACTCGGGTTGCCCAAATAATCGAGCCCACCCTCGCTGAATATTTGTGACCCGGCCTTGAACCACACGGCCTCGCCGAATTTGACTCCGTTACGGGCCAGGAGCTCGGGGAAGATGCACCCGAGGGCACCGAGCATGGCCCACCTCGAGTGGATGACCTCGAGCTCGCGGTTCTTGGCGAAGGTCTCCGGGTCGGCAGAGAGGCCCGCGGTGTCCCAGCCGTAGTCGCCGGGGAATTCGCCGGTGAGGTAGCTCGGGGGCTCGCCGGAGAATGGGCCGAGGTACTTGACGCGGTCCGGGCCGTACCATGGGCTGCCGGAGGAGGCGGCGGGCTTGGGCTTGGGCTTGGAGGTGGTTTTCCGCATCGTGAACCTTCCGCCACCGAAGATCTCGGAGGCGGGGGAGGGGGAGAGCTTCACCGTCTTGCCGGTGAAGGAAGAGGAGAGGGCCATTGTTGAGGCCGCCATCGGTGGTGCTTGAGTGGTGTTCGATGAAATGCGTGTGAGAAGGAAAAAAGAATGTGTGTTGAGAGATGATGAGTTGATTGTGTGAGGGTGTTATGGTATTTATATTGAAATTGTGGGATTGGAGTTCTTATCCAATGGGGATCAGTATCTGGGTTTTGATTGGCTGGTGTTATTTTGATTGGTGTGTGTTGAGTGTACATTTGGCAAAGCCATCTCCACGAACATCAAGTGCAAACGTTGAAACAGATCTAGAGACTTTTATTATAGCCAATGAGGTATTGCCACGTTTTCGGATGGATATAACGATATAGGGCGTGATTGTTTATGAATTCTACAGTAAATATCTCACTCAAAACTCAAATTTAACTCAAGTTTAAATTCAACTCCAATATCTTTAATATTATCAATATAATTAAATAATATCAACCAATCATTATTACGCATCACATCAACTTTAATTCACTATTCATCAACTCACATAATTTTAACTAACTATCACTTCCAATCATTTTCTCCTACTTTTACATTAAATCAACTTTAATTATTTTAATTTAAATATTATTTTAATATATTCATTAACAACTAACCATACTACTTTCTTTCAAACTTAAGTATAGTTAAAAAAAAACTAGTTTTTTACTAAGTGAATTCATATTCAATCGTCCCCATAACGAATGACTTCGTTCCGTCGAGATTTATAACCATTAGATCATTATGTATTACAAACTCCGACGAAATGGTTCCGTAATGTGACCATCGAATCACCTCAATAAATAACAAAACATGTAATATAATAGTAATGCTCACCTACCCACAGTGGGCGCATGTTAATATGTCTACCGTTTATGTGGCATGTACACATTGGTGATGTTAATATGTTAAAGAAAATACACCACCAACGTGTGCATGTCACATAAGCGGTGGACATATTAACATGTGTCCACCATAAGTAGTTGATCATTACTCTGCAATATAATATATTTTGTGACAAACTAGCATGATGGTAGTTTTGTCTCATCGACGGGAATGGCTAGTGCGGGAGGTGTTGTTCGTGATCATTATGGCAATTGGGTCCGTGGCTTCGTGATGAATATTGGGTTTTGTTCGATCGTGGGCGCCGAGCTTTGGGGTCTATTTCAGGGGCTGCAGTTGGCTTGGACTTTGGGAGCAGATAAAGTGACGGTGGAGGTCGATAATCAAAGCGTTCTTTCGATGGTACATCAGGAAGACACTAATGGGCCGTATGGGAGTCTTTTGAACTGCATAAAAGATCTTTTACGTCGACAATGGAATGTGAAGCTGATGCACTGCTACCGTGAAGCTAATTTCGTAGCGGATTTTTTGGCCTCGTTGGCGGTCAAAGGGCCGGGTGGACTGCACGTTTTGGAACGCCCTCCTCCGGGGGTGGGGTTATGGCTACAACACAATATTGCCGGCGTGTCTCACCCGCGTAGGGTGTTGGTATAGTCGGGCTCTAGGCTTTGCCTCCTTTCTTGTACCAAAAAAAAAAAAAAAAATGTGTGGCCATGAGATATTGATATGGTTCACCCCAACGGGTTCCAAAATTTCTACATAGATTAAAACAAAAACAAAAACAAAAAAAAAACAATAATAATAATAAAATAAAAAATAGGTAAAAAAAAAATATTATAAAATCATTTGACAGCTGTGGGATTTGAACCCACGCCCTTTCGGACCAGAGCCTAAATCTGGCGCCTTAGACCACTCGGCCAAACTGTCAGTTGTGTATACCTGGTATGAAATTAAACGTCTTAACAGTAACTGATGTGATGGCTGAGCCTTTTAATACGTTATAATTTGATTTGAAGAAAGAAATTTATCTGCTTTTAGAGGATGCTTGGATACAAAATTATCTCAAATTATTCCAATCATTTTTAACTCAACTACTTTTTTTAATTCAATTTTAACTTAACCTCACTATCATCAACCTTTTCCTATAATTAAATAATATCAACCTATCATTTATACACATCACATCAACCTTAATTCACTATTCATCCACTCACATAATTTTAACTAACCATCACTTCAACTTCTCTCTCTTACTTTTTAAATCTAATCAACTTTAATTATTTTATTTTAAATATTATTTTAATATATCCACTAACAACTAACTATACCACCTTTTTCAAAATTAACCAAACCAAACCAAAAAAATCCAAACAAAACAAAAAAAATTTATATCCAAGCACGCTCTTAGAGATTCAAGTATGGACCACTGGATTGTGTACTTCGTTTTCAAAAAAATAAGGAAAAATCATCATTGTTACCAAGAAAATCCATCATATTGTTATTAATATTTCACAATATGGTTCTTTATCTGCATTTTATAATGTTTTTCAGATCATTTTCATTCCAGTCATTCACAATACAAATATGTAAATATTATATCATGATTTAAATGTAAATTTCTAATACTCAAAGTAGCCCTCATTCAATCTGCAAAAAGAAAAAACCACTACAATATATGAATAAAGGTACCAAGTGAACAACAAATTGCTGCATTAGCTGCAGTTTTTTTAATAGAAGTTGGGTACAGTCATCTACGTTTCTTAACAGCAAGAAACCGTACGAAGTAGAAGAAAGTCGAAAAAAACTAAAGAACGCAACTTTATCGAACCTACTACAAGATAACCCATCGACTAACATTCATATAGTCCGAGAAGACTATTAAATTCATCTTCGCTCGCTCGATAAATCTATTTTCAGCCCTAAAACAGACATAATTCAGACGAACGAAAATCAGCAATTTTTCGATTGTTTTCACCCTTCGAAGCTCTCGACTCCAAGCTTCTGAACCTCTGCCCTGAGAGACTTCAAATAACGAACACTTTCATCCAAAATTTCAACAGCAGTCATCCGGTTCGCACCCGGAACAATTCCTCTCAAAGCCTTCACCATTTTCTTCATTCTCTTATTATGCTTCTTCTTCTTTTCATTCCCTCGAATTCCAGAAGATTTACCGAAAACTGTTCGTTTCTTTTTGGGCACCGGCTCGTAATTCGAGCAAGAATCAGGTGAACTGCAGTCATAATACACGCCATTTCTTGCCGTGCTGACCTCATCATCCTCGATTTCATTTTCTTCATATTCGCTACTCAAAAGTGCATCGATATCATTGTAGTCCTCTTCGAACGAGGAACTAATATTATTGTGATCACTGTTCGCGTTCGGGTCTTTTTGGACCAACTCATCTCGAAAAAAAGGCGTGACGGCTTCAAAATTCGAAGTTTGGAGAAATTTCGAGCTCATCTCGGGATTGTACATGACCTGGCTTTCCTTGTTAGTTTGGTCAAAGATTATGAAATTTCGAGGGCACGCATTCGAAGGTTGAACGTTGACATTGTGGAAAGGAAAGGTGCGTGGTTTGATTCCAGGTGGCACAAACCCGTTTAAGACAGCTGCCATTGGAGCATTTTGAGTGTAATAACCAATTTTTTGATCTCCGAGCCCGAAAGGGAGATTGGGATTTTCGGGAAAGAATGGTTGGCCTGTGTGCATGAGTGCTGATTATGTCGAAAAGGGGGCTATAAAAAGTATTGAAGGTTGAGAAGTTTGATTTTCAGATAGGTTCAAATTTAAAGGAATTTGGTCGTTGGGCTGAGAGTAGGCCGAGTCTCTGATCAAATTAGCTTGTGATAATCAATACTCGAGTAAATTGTTTCTAATCGAAATTCAGACTACGTGACAGGTTTAAGCAACTGACGGAAATATTCGGCCTACAAGGGAAAAAGATAAAACAAGAATTAGCTCATCAAGTTGAAGATTGACTAAAAAAAACATAAAAAGGGAAAAATTAAAGGTCCTAAACATTCTAACAAGATTGTTTGTTGATTGATTTTTAAACTTATTCTACCTAAGGAAATAAGAACGATTAACGAAAGATATACAGAATGTAATTAAAGATCGAAACTTTACCTAACACGGGAGTCTTCAAATACTCGAGAAAAGACGAAAACAAAGCTAAATCTAACATAACTAGAAGCTAAAGTCGAACAATCAATCAGAAAATAACCGAGACTTCTCGATTTTTACCTTCAAAGATTCAAACTTTAACCATGCGTGCAATGGAGGAAAATAAACATTGACTTCAAAGTTATCAATCAATTATATTATTAAGGGCCAATGGTCTAAGACTTTTTCTAGAAACACTATATTCTTATAACACACACTGGATTAAATTCAACAGAGACTGAACAGAAATACGTTTCCGATCGGGTCAACGGAAGTCAAATGAATTGGGGTTTTAAAAGAAACTTATTTAAGTAATTTAGTTGAAATTTTGTATGCCTTCCAATGGAAGATATTCTAATTTATGATGTTAAACTAAACTTCAAAGAGAGTTATATCACAGAGTAAGTAAGCATACAGGCTCGATACAAGAACGCGAGTATAGCTGTTAAATCATATAGATCGTACTAATAAAAGCAATACCCAAACAAGAAACATAATTTGTCACTTGATAGGAAGCATTAAGAGATTTTACCTGACAAACTTTCATCAATTGGTAAAAAGCAATGCTTCCAACACTCATGTTAATTCGCCTCAATTCTTTCGATATTTGAAGTTTCTTGCTAGCTGCTACAATGAGCATTCTCAAACTCTACCCCACCAAAATAAAACCAAAACCGGTCTACACGACAAGTTTATAATCGACACAACCCTGCAAAGATTTAGCATTAAAGAGATTATTAGGTGAACTAATAACTATGAACAAAATCCAGCATAGAAAATTCAAACAGGGAGGGACTCACCTAATGAAACTGAAAATTTAGAGAATAACAAGAAAGAACACGAACAACCGCACCGACTTCCCGAAATATTTCGGAGATCCCCAAGGCATTGTTGATTCAATTCTTCAGCCAAAGATTTGATTTTTTTTTAAGCCAAACAAACCTAAGCTGATGCAGGGAAGAAAACAAATGGGCATAACAAATCAGTAACTCCAATGAAAAATAGCTACATTCCAATAACACAAAAGAAAAAAAAAAAACAGCACGATACACAAAACAAATACACTCACATGAGTAAACTTAAAACCCATCATAAATTGATTACTATGTTCAGAACAGCCCTTGCTAATGCAGAGAAGCATATAAAACAAACGGGTATAACAAATCAGTAATTCATATGAAACAAAGCTACATTTTGTTAACCCAAGAAAAAAAAACCAACAAAACAATAGACAAATACAACTCATGTGAGTAAACTTAAGGAAGATGCTATAATCCCGTTACGGAACCATTTAGTCGGGGTTTGTAACCGGTAGATCATCATGTAATCGTCGGAGATACTTAATCTACCAATTACAAACCCCGACGTAGTGGTTCCATAACGGGACTGTAGCATTTTCCTAAACTTAAAACCCATCTTAAAGCAAACTAAGCAAGTCTTAAAATATGTTTTACTATGCTAAGCACCATCTCACTGCAAGATATGTCAAGTAACAATAGACACCAACTCACTCCAAATGCAAAAAAGGAGCAAACTTTGCATACAACTTCACACAATAATCAAATAAACGAGTCCAAATCTCTGGAAAAAATCCACAAACTTCGCAAGAAAATTTCAAAAAAAAAATAAACAAAAAATCATAGATCAGCACCAAACCCACCTTCAAAACATCCCAATAAAAAAAATTAACACAGAACTACACAATCGCGAAAACAAAGAACTCGGAAAAGGGTCAATTAACACAACCCAGTTGAAGAAAATTACTTGAAGATCGTCCAAGGAGAACCAGAGATCGAACCCAGCAAATGAAATCCCTAATAAAAAAAGAAGCAGATCTGTTCCTCTGGAGATGATGTTGTTGTTGTTTGTTGACGATGATGATGATGATGATAAGCAAGTGCAGCCATGAGTGGGCGTGGTGCGAGCTTATTTAATGCTGGCAGCTGGGAGGAGGGGCGCGTGGGAATGCGTGAGCCCAAAGCGGGGCGAACGAGGACCGTCGGATGAGGGGAAAGGGGGGCCGATTTCCGTGCGATGCGGATGGGTTGGTGGCCGTTGGATTGGGGGAGCACGCGTGAGCGGAAAAAAGGCGAAACTCCACGAGGTTTGACAAAAATCGCGTATCTAATGTTGGAATTCGAAATCAACAACTTT